TACATATCTGACTTAAAATAAGTGCCGGAAAAATCTCTGATTACCTCATAAATTGTCATTTTGAAGCTACAAACTGCATTTTTTCTTATACATGTATCAATTAATATCCAATGTATGAAAGAATTAACAAACACAACAACCATGCAACCACCCCCTGTTTCCAATGGCACAAAGAAAAAGAAAACAAAAGGCCTTCAATAGATCACATTATATTTAAACTGAAGACTCTTTTGACGAGTGAATGCCTTGGTCGAATTGTCGTTGAATCTTACCACTCACTCACTCTTACTCCAGAATTTGACTCATTTATATATGCACATCTCTCCGCTCGCTCTTACCGCTCTCCATAGTGCAGTTGACGGTAGATGGTGAGCCACCAGAAGGTTTGATGATGTATTCTCCACTGGGCAGTCCGGCCATCTCCAGCTCGTAGCAGGACTGGGCATATTCTGGGCTGGATAGACCTGTGAGGACAAATGGAGACTGTATGGTGTACAGGATAATGCTATTTATTATTATTTATTTGAAAGGAACCATCTTTTTATGGCATGGTGTTTGCCCAGGTAGATAAAATAAGAAGAAGAAGAAGAAGAAGAAGAAGAAGAAGAAGAAGAAAAAAAAAGAAGAAGAAGAAGAAAAAGAAGAAGAAAAAGGAGCAAGAGGGGAAAGGAGGAAAAAGAAGTAGAAAAAAAAGAATTAAGAATGTGCTTCTGGTCAAAAATCTATTAGATCATGTGGCATTGCGCTTTTCATTCAGTATGATGACCATTCAGTATGATTCAGATGCTCACCTTTGTAAATGCTAAAACAATTAACATGAAAATATCCCAAACAGAAGACAAACCATTAAAATGGCTTCCACTTACCTGAGGCTTGGTACACGTTGAACTTGTTAGCAGCGCCGCAGTACTGTTTGTCATTGGCCAGGCACGGCGTGGAGCATGACGTCATAGGGAGAGGAGAGTGGAGGTCAAAGGCCGTGGCATTTGTGCCATCTAGCGGAAAGAGAACATACTAAGTTTCCTGCCCCAATACACGGTTATCTAGACAATCGCAAATGAGTGCCGTAGAGCTCAGATATCAGGCGTTAGTTTAAACGTTCAAATTTTAAGTACTACTTTTAACTTTGACTTATGCAAAAATGAAAAATGCAATTAAATAAATATTGTCGATAGATGTATACAGACTTATGGAACAATAATAAGGTAATGAATAATATAGTCGACTATTTGTCTGGTTATAAACTTGTTAAAGCCTTACCATTGGTTACACAGTGGCATGCGTTTCCATTGAGCAAGGCTGCGTAGTCGTAACTCTTAGCCATACAAGTTTGTCTACAGTACTGTATGGACATCTTACTGTTAGTCAGAACAACCTCACCATCCTGTACTCTGTCAAAACATCCAATGTACTCTGAAGCAGAACGTGCGGCGATCTGTATCTAATAGCACCACGTGCAAAGATGGCATGGTACGAATAAATTCATAGTTTATAAAAGATGTTGATATTGTCGTCACATTTATATGAAGTATGCACATGCTGGCTTGATGTTAAGATGTATGAAAGAAAATACGACCAAATGTAATATTTAGGGTCGCATCACACAAGGAATTAGATGTTATCAAAGAACCCACAAGGTGTCATTCAGACGGCTTAAAATCGTGTCCGAATTCAAATGTCAATGTGTATTTTGACGAGCTGAAAACAACAATTCTTTATGTATATACTTTAACGTGGGCTACTATGCTGATGTATAAGATGCGATATATAAATACCACATTATACTATAAGAGAGAGAGAGAGAGAGAGAGAGAGAGAGAGAGAGAGAGAGAGAGAACAATACCTGGTGATTTTTCGCAAATATACCCTTCCGTTTCCGTACATAACCAGTCCCTCCACTTGTAGTGCTGTGACCGCATCAAAATATTGCACTTGTAGCCGAAGGTATTTGGAGCGACGCCGTGGAAATATTTATATTTGCTTAACGCACCATCCAACCACGTGCTAGCTTTAGTGTCAGCGAAGTCGTAGAATCCAATGAAAAAGTACCATTCGTACAGCAGTGACGGGCGAGCTTAATAAAGTTAAACGTAAATTTATATAATAGAAAATAAATATTAGATAAGGGTTAATTCAGCCATTGATACATGTATAGAAATTAAAACTTCACATATATTGGAAATTACATTGCTATTTGGGTTAAAATGTATAAAGCTTCAAGGTTGCAATAAGGTTGCTAAAATTATAACATCTGATCATATATCGGTGATTTCGAGATATTATAAAACATGCTGTTGACCCGATGACGCCACCACCCAATAAAATATCGACCTATGACGTCATCGCCACTTTTACACTTTATACAAAAGATAAAAGGAGACATCATCAATGAGACGACAGCAATGTCGATGCTGCAACTGCTGACGATTTTATCCTTGAGGACATGAATATTCAGCTGATAAAAAACACTTAAGAAGCTTTTTATATGTCCATATAAAACACTTAAGACCGAAAGCAACACTATACGCAACCTACTAGGAATCAAGTTTTTCAGGAAGTTCATCTCGCTGGCGCTGTTCACTGTCACAAGGTGGGCGTTGTCCGCCGCACACGCTTGGATGGCCTGGTCAAAGTTCTTCTGGACGTGGGTCAGTTTGTAACAGTGACCACCATGGGAGATCCAGCCTTGGTCACACGCCGTGGAGTTCTCTGGATTGATAATGAATATACGGCAGTTATAATATGGAAGTCAACGGCTGGAGGAAGAGATCTTCGCTGTACTTAGTAATATAGAACGGCATTACAAGAAACATACATATACTACTACTACTCCTACTATTACTACTCCTACTGCTGCTGCTGCTGCTGTCAATAACACCACTAATGCTACTGCTACTTGTAATAATCATAATAATAATAATAATAATAATAATAATAATAATAATAATAATAATAACACCACCAATCAAATAACACACATCGTTGACAGCAATGTTTCGGATTATACAAGCCTGATTAAAATTCGTTTTCAGTGTTCGTGTTCCAAAGTACTCACCCTTTATATTGCAGTAAAAAGACGACGAGTCTGACGAATAATAGGTCCCATGGATCCAGAGACCGGCGTTATAGACATCCTGGCAGCTGGAGATATACGGTTCCTCACCTGGAAGTACACGGTGTGATTATACCCTTTGATAGCAGGGGCTTGTACATGAAATATTATACAAAATTAAACTGTGAGCGATATGATCATTTTGTGCAGGTTACTAGCACACCTTGTGGTCAGAGAGTAACAGTTTGATATCAAAGTGAAATGTTCCTTAAAATTTCACAGAGGTAATGTTTTATGGTATATATGCCTGATATATCTTAAGATAGATATGTGCAGTTTATACACTTCATAGATATTTATCTTCCCAAATTCAGACCTATAAATGATAACTTCAAACCCCTAAAGTACTTCGTGTCAAATTTTCCTTCGAAAATGCTCAGGGAAACTTGATGGTCTAAATGACTTTCCAGTCAGTAATGATTAATTATCTAATAAGAAATAACGAGAAATATCGCATTCAAAATCAGAGAAGAATCAAGTAGTGGTTTGTGAGTAGAGGACGATAGTTTAACTGTCATGGAAAATTCATTGGCGGGAAAACCCGGGTAAAATCCTGAAATAACGTAAATACATATTCCGTTCACAGAGAGCTATACATAAGTGAGGAATGAACTTTAGGATGAATATCTATCATCAGAAGATACATAACATGGGTATAAGCATCTGAATGAAAAGAAAACTTCACTTACTTAAAGGGTACCCAAACACCCTGTCAGTGCCCCCGCAGTTCTCGGCATTGTACGAACAGTTGGCCACCTTATCCACGATGTCCCCTGAAGAACACAAGCAATGAGGTACCGTGTGAATCGCAGGGTGTCTGCCTAGTTTACGGTACGAGAGAGAGAGAGAGAGAGAGAGAGAGACGTCAAACAGTATGTAGAAGATTATACATTTATCTGTTTTTAACAGGCGTCTTACATGGCTCACGCTAGATTGATAGTACAAGGGTTTCGTTTGAAACAATGAGTTACAACTTGTATCTGTGCACTACTAGTAAATACAGTATGTTTGGGGCACTCGCTTTTTTGTGT